TATAACAATAGCAAACATTAGACCAGTGTTTTCAAGATCAAATTCGATTTTCAATTCATATATAATTCATTACGGCGTAGAAAGCCTTGTCTAGTAAATAAGAGTTCAATGCTTTGCGAAATGAAAAAAATGATGTTATGGATTTGATTTCAAATGGCAGGTGATTGTGCATTTTTTTCGAGTTGTATAATATTGAACTTTTAACTAACTCTGAGCGTGGGGTAGGTAGATAAAGATCTTGCTCCGCGTTCCTGAGTGGATAAGTGTGAGATGGCCTTTCTTGAGAAGCTGATACATGTTTACGTATTAGGCAAACGGATTCAAATATAAATAAGGAAGGAAGAGTCAATATTTTTAATTCTCTAAAAAAGCCCCGGCAATGAGTTCTGCTGTTTAGTCCCAGTGAATATCGAACAGCTCTCTTCTGGAGCTTGAAAATGCGGTCAAATTGAGCCGCACAACACGTACCCCAGAATGGAAGGGCATACCTGAGGTGCGACTCAAAAAGTGCATAATAAACAGTTCTAGCCACTGACAAGTTAAGCTCCTTAGAAACAGACCTTAATGCAAAACAGGCAGAGCTCAATTTTTTCGACAAAGCTTCGATATGTATGTCCCATTTCAGAGAATTGTCCACAACAAGCCCTAAGAATTTTACGGATTTTACGACGTCAATGGTGGTGTTGTCAAGTACAAAAGGCTGCAACGAGTTTTTATACGACAAAGCCTTAGTTTTAGAAATGTTGAGACTCAGGAGGTTCGAATCGCACCAAGATTTAATGGTGATTAAGTCATTTGATATAATCCTATGAAGTGCCGCGATGTCCTTGTTGCTCCAAGTGAAGCTAGTGTCGTCCGCAAAAAGACATATTTTGCCACTGATGTTTATGTTAGCAATGTCGTTAATAAAAAGAAGAAACAAAATAGGGCCTAGTACTGAGCCTTGTGGTACTCCACATTCTATTGGCTTGCTAGAAGACAACGTGGTATCCACCCTCACAAGTTGACTTCTGTTGCTCAGATACGACTTAAACCATTCGAGAGATGATCCCCTGAACCCATAGTGCTGCAGTTTATTAATTAGGATCTTATGATTTACACAATCGAACGCCTTAGAAAAATCACAGAAAATTGTTGCTGTAGAATGATGGTTGTTTAGGCTGGAGTAAACTTTATTAAGGAGGAAAACATAGCGTCATTTGTGGACTTGTTGCTTAGAAATCCAAATTGATATTCAGTAAGTATTTTGTACTTAAACAGAAAAGATACCAGCCTGCTTTTAACCAACCTTTCTATGATCTTAGATAGCGTTGGAAGGAGTGCAATTGGGCGATAGTTAGAAGCTTCATCTTTGTCTCCTCCTTTGTGCAGTGGAATGATTTTGGAACGACATGTTTATTAAAGTTGTTAGGTGATTCAGAGTGCTTTCTGGCAAATTCGAAAACATTTTTAAAGTTAGCCCGTCTGTCCCAGAAGAGGATTTATTTTTGATGGTATTAATTGTACTGCGAAGCTCTTCAAGAACTACGTGCGAAAAAAAGAAACTGTGTAAGTTTACATTATCATTAGAGAGATAAGAAAGTGGATCATAGGAGGACATATGGTATTAGTTAAGTTTTTCGCTACATTTACAAAGTAATCGTTAAGGTTCTCAGGCGAGGTAGAGATATTGCTAGACGAAGAAGCTTTGTTTCTTAACTCATTCACAATACACCATGTTTCCTTAGCAGCTCTATTGTCCTCATCTGAAATTTGCGGCCGAGGCGTAGCCGACTAATTTATTCCACTAATTTTGAGATTCCGAATCAAGCTTTATATTACAGGACACCCAGTATACTTAAACATATTTGATTATTCAAAGATAAAAAGACTTATTATCATTACAAGATCGACTAAACAACAAAACACATAAAAACTCAACAAGTATTTTTTTCTTCGGTACTTCTCGACACGCACAAGAAAATTTTGCATTACCTATGGCCTTATCTACGTTTTAAGCTTCAGAGAAAGCAGCTATACTGGTACAAAAACAGCTAGCTTCAAGCTTTGTTGTTTTTGCGAGGAAATAACCAACGCAGGCTGTTAGCTTCGTATCGCCTTAATTGATAAATTACCATAAGATTTAATCTTTGCCGGACTTTCCAATTAAAAACTTCCAAAGAAATGCGTTTAAAAGTTTTTATTTACAACCACATATTATGTAATACTGACATTACTGACTTTTAAAAAATTTGAAAGTCAAATTATCTACATTTCTTCCATTTCCTTCACTCGGTTTTTCTTATTTCTCGCGTCATTTAATTAAGCAAAATATTGCTGTAATATCTTTATTAAATACTTATCTAACATCAACAAAAATAAACAAGAAGATTAACAATAATAATTGAAAATTTTAATACATTTATTTGTTGAAGGTAAAAATGCTAATAGACTTCTTTGACTTAAAACCTACATTCTGGCGTTTTAAAAAAGCGACGAGTTTGTGATATTTTGATGTCAGTCTTTTCCCTTAATTCTAGCATTGTCCGTATCATGCTGTACGTAGCCCAAAGAGTAGATGGCTTTTTCTGCCTTGCCATGTCGCTAAAATATGCCATCAAGACTGTCTCTCAAGCAATATTCTTAGAATTTCTTTCGGCACACCATTTTTCGTATACTTTCAATGCTATTTCATATCGCTCCCTACTTTTCTCTGGAAGTAAACTGGCTTTTGCTCCTTTTGCAGCTTCTGTAAGTTCTGGTGGAGAACCAGTATTAAAATAGTTTTCATTATCAGAACTTTCCGACAACATTCTGGTTTTCTATGTTATACAGGGTTGTTCACCACATACGACACGGAGTATTGTAGCTAAACGATGAGATTTTTACAAATTGTAAGTTTGGGGTTCGTTGAAGGACTATTAGAGCTACAATTTAAAAATATTTTTACAAGATACAGAGTGTCCCAAATAAATAAAAAATATCAAAGTTGTATTTTTTTAAATGGAACACCCTGTATATTATTACATTTTTAGTTTCTACGATTAAAATAAAGGTAAATTTGATTAAGATTTATTATACTTAAACCTTACCGTTTTTGAAATATTTTCAAGTTTGTGAAATTGCAGTAAAAATTTTAAGGCTTCATTTCTCCAAGGGTATCAAAGTTTTTAATACTAAATATTTACTGAAGTTTATTTACTGATCAGTTATTGTGTTACAATAATAAAAATAATACTACCTTATACAGAGTGTCTAAAAATTTATTTTAAATAATTATTAGCTTCAAACGCCAATAACTTCTTTAATTTAAATGGAATGCCCTGTATATTTTAGGAGAATCAGATGCACAATTAAATTGTCTATCAAATTGTATTATACCATTTTTTACCTATCCCTTCAAGTTTTCGTAGAAAATGCATTTTCTTATAATTTAGACCTCATTTATCAATATATCCATGGAATACTTATTGACATTTTAGATTGTTTTTAAAGCAACAAATGTACAAAATGTACAAACTAGTAATATTATCGTTTTTAGCAAAACGATAATATTACTAGCCCATTTGTATGCAAAAAGAAAACTATTTAAATCTTTATAAAAGAGTATACCATTAATTAAATATAACACCATTATTTCCGCCCATATACTAATTAATGACATACTTAATTGTGTTCGTTAATAAATTATTATAAATAAATGTGGATTTTTGAGTCAGAAATCAATATAATAATGAGTTATCAAATTAAAGTCTTTGTTGTTATAAATAAGCATTTATTAAAAAATGAAATATCATTTTTAAGGTGTTACTTTTTATCACACTGTCTAATGCCCATACAAAATTCAATTATTATTAATCAACGCAAACAGTCAGTTAATGTAGTTTGAATACTGGAATCATATTAATTGGTCCTCTTTAACAAATATTTAAACAGTTTTTTTTTATTTTTTAATGAAATAAACGAATTATATCGACAATATTAGTATCTGTACTCTTTAAAAATTTGGTACATCTTTAAAAATAATCTAAAATGTCAATAGTCCATGGGTATATTGATAAATAAGTTCTAAATTACAAGAAAATGCATTTTCTACGGAAACTTAAAGAGAGAGGTAAAAAATGGTATAATATAATTTGATAGACAATTAAATTGTGCATCTGATTCTCGTAAAATATACAGGGTGTTCCATTTAAATTAAACAAGTTATTGCCGTTTGAAGCTAATAATTATTTAAAATAAATTTTTAGACACTCTGTATAAGGTAGTATTATTTTTATTATTGTAACACAATAACTGATCAGTAAATAAACTTCAGTAAATATTTAGTATTAAAAACTTTGATACCCTTGGAGAAATGAAGCCTTAAAATTTTTACTGCAATTTCACAAACTTGAAAATATTTCAAAAACGGTAAGGTTTAAGTATAATAAATCTTAATCAAATTTACCTTTATTTTAATCGTAGAAACTAAAAATGTAATAATATACAGGGTGTTCCATTTAAAAAAATACAACTTTGTTATTTTTAACTTATTTGGGACACTCTGTATCTTGTAAAATTATTTTTAAATTGTACCTCTAATAGTCCTTCATCGAACCCAAAACTTACAATTTGTAAAAATCTCATCGTTTAGCTACAATACTCCGTGTCGTATGTGGTGAACAACCCTGTATAAATTCGAAAAAACGAACGAGAAATTCAAAACTGTCACTTAATTATTTGCTTTGCTGTTGAAGGTTTGCGCCATAACAGCCACTGGTACCGGCAAAGATAATTCTTTGTGTTAACTATAATATTCTTTGGTACCGGTAACTATAGATATGGAAATGCCAAAATAGAAAACGACAAATTTTCGCATATTTATTTATTTTTTTAAATAAAATATTATCTTTATTTCTTAATTAATGATGTGGTTGTAAAAAAATATATTACTATTTTTATAAAATTTTCATGTCATAAGGTTGAGATTTATTTACAGAAAGAAAATATTATAGTATTTTTCATTCTTTTTTTTCCAGGGGAAAAAAATATACTACCAGACACTGATAGTGGAAAAAAATGAAGCTCAAGGTCAACCAAAAACTAGAGAAACAGTCCATGTCAAGTGTTCTATGCTGTCTATCAAAGAACACACTGTGTCGAGAAGAAACGTTTTTCCAGCTGGATTTGAGGAACCAATGTAAGTATCTTGAATGATTGTAAACTCATTAATATAAAAATTAGATGATATTGTTATTTTTATTATTGAAGTTCATTACTTGATAAGTTTATTTTGGGAAATCAACGCTAAGAAGTTGCTTTTTTTGAATCTGAGTGTACAGTGTGTCCCATTTTGGTTGAAATCATAGGGTATCTCCGTTATTAGTGAAGATAGAAGGGTGTGGTTTGCACAAACCTGTCCCACTTTTTCGTGAAACGGAAAATGCTGCAAACAAAATTTTCATAGCCCTCTTAGTTTCTGAGCTACAGGGTCTTTTCGAAGATGTTGCAATTTGGGGCACCCCCTGTATCTCTGTTATTGTTAAAGGTATCGAGAAGGCGAAAACTGCTTATTGTAGAATTTTTTACGTGGAATACAATGGCGTAGTCTGTTTTTCTACCAAAAAAATATTTTTGAAAATACGAACTAAAGTTATGTTTTCTCAAATGGAACAACCTATATATTTATAAATCATATGATCTGTCTTGTTATGAGCTTCTCAAAAATATATATCACTCTATATTTATTTTCACTATTTACTGCAATATTTAAAATATATCATTTTCTTATTAGTAGGCCGTGATAAATAACAAAAAATCAAAATGATATTTACTAAAATAGTCATACACATATTAAAATTTATTTGGGATTGGTATATTTTACTTTTGAAATAACTGTTACCACTGAACCTGTGAATATATTTTTCTTTTTTTTTATAACGGAATGGGTTTGCAAATATCTAAAAGCTTGAATTATTAAAGCATTTTTCAGGTGTTCGACATTGTTGTAGTGCCCACGATATATTTCGTATTTCAAAAATCCTCAAAATCAGAAATCGAGAACGGCAAAATCCGGGAATCGAGGAGGCTATAAATATGTGTTCATTGGTTCCAATTCATTGATTTGAAAAATAATAATTTAACAGTATTCTAATATTTTCATGAGTTATGTTTCCCATCTTGCTGAAAGTATATTTCACGTAAATTAGCTAAAGGAATATCTAAAATTTCCGATACGATAGATTATTCGTACGTATACACGTATTCCAAGATTTACAAATAGCGGTAGGGAGTTAAGTTTCCCTAATATATAAAGAATTTATTAGCGGCTCCCAAAATAAAACAAGAGACAGATAGCAGTATACTTTTAATAATTCTTTAGTTTCTTTTATTATCAATCATGGCCTACTAATAAATATGATCTTTTAATAAAAACTTTTAAATATTGCAGTAAATAGTGAAAATAAATATAGAGTGATATATATTTTTGAGAAGCTTATGGCAAGACACATCATATGATTTATAAATATACAGAGTGTTCCATTTAAAAAAACATAACTTTAGTTCATATTTTTAAAAATATTTTTTTGGTAGAAAACCAGACTACGCCACTGTATTCTACGTAAAAAGTTCTACAATAAACAGTTTTCACCTTCTCGATACCTTTAACCATAACAGAGATACGGGGGGTGTCTCAAATTGCAAAACTTTCAAAAAGACCCTGTAGCTCGGAAACGAAGAGGGCTCTGAAAATTTTGTTTACGGCATCTTCCGTTTGACAAAAAAGTGAGACAGGTTTGTGCAAACCGCACCCTTCTATCTTCACTAATAACAGAATGGGACACCCTGTACAGGGTGGTCGAAATTGGTCTGTTTTAACAGAGAAAACCTATTTCCTGACTAGATAGAGCATAACCGACGTAGATGTCATGGGCTCGATTTCTGAGACAGGTTTAATGGCATAAACTGCCTCTGTTGATATTTTCACTGCCAACTGAGATACGGGGTCTTTTTGAATTGTTTACCATTTTGATAATTGCCCATAACTTTTTTATTTCGTGGAATAATAAAATTCTGTAAAAACGTTGCACTTTTTTAAGAATAATCCAGTGGCGTAGTCAGTTTTTTTCTATGCTTGCTCTTTTTATTAGAAATAATAAAAAATATAATTTTTAAATATAAATCATAGTTGGCTATGATTTAAAAAAAATGCTGGCATTTAACCCTTTCCAACGATTTAAAGTTATGGGTATTTATTTCTAAGAATGAGAGAAATATTTTTTTTTTCTATATTAGTATTAGTAATAACAATTGAAACCGATACAATAAACAAAGAACAAAACTAAAAACACGTATTTTTTGAGTGACGAATATAGTTTTCTAAAATGTTAATTTACCTTTTCAAAAATCTTTAATTATGCAGATAAATAATAATATACAATATAAAATTATAAAAAAATAATTAGGCAAAGAGGTCAACACAAAATCAAGGCCCGCTTCGATATAAAGATAAAAAACCTAATATTTCTCTCATTCTTAGAAATAAATACCCATAAATTTATATCGTTGGAAAGGATTAAACGCCAGCATTTTTTTAAGTTCATAGCCCACTATGATTTCCATTTAAAAAATTATATTTTTTAATATTTCTGACAAAAAGAGCAACTCGAGAGAAAAACTGACTACGCCACTGGATTGTGCTTAAAAAAGTGCCTTCAGAACGTTTTTACAGAATTTTATTATTCCGTGAAATACAAAAGTTATAGGCAATTTTTCAAATGATAAAAAATTCAAAAAGACCCCGTATCTCAGTTGGCAGTGAAAATATCAACAGGCGGTTTACGCCATTAAACGTGTCTAAGAAATCGAGCTCATGACATCTATGACGGTTTTGCTCTATCTTGCCAGGAAACAGGTTTTCTTTGTTAAAACAGACCAATTTCGACCACCCTGGAGTTATAGTTTTTAAGGTCCTTAATATCAATATTTGACTTGTGTTCTATAATGATTTGGTAGTATTATTCTACTTTAATTTAGTTTTATTGCAATTTATAAACAAAACAGTTGCTTTAATTGATACAATTCAAGATTTAGTGCTATTATTAATCTATGGTTGACCTTTAAATAGAGGAAACCTGTCAACGAGGTTGCCCTTCGTCCTTTAAGTGCCTAATAAACTTCAGCTAAGTCCTTAAGGACATAGACAAAGAGATCAATTCTGTTGTTGCCCCGCACTGTTCAATCCCCATCTGGCTCGATTGTTGGCTATATTCAGGACAATTAGTCTTGTTTTAGTCATGCTAATTGGAGACGGTTATTAGCAATATCCGGCTAAGGATTTTGTTACCAAATTATAAGGGATATAGAATAGAGTGTCCTAATTCTGAATATTTACAGACAAATAATATAAAAAATAAACCTACCAAATTGGAGATACCCAAGATACACAAAGCAGATTTAAACAAAAAAAAAACTTTTTAAATTGATTAACTATGACTTCTTAAAAAGAATTTTTATACTTTTCGAACGATATATATTTATGCGGAATGTTTCTTTGACTAGTATTATATAGGGAGAGTCTTAAATAAGTGAAAATATTTTTAGGGGTGGTATATTTCGACCTCAGAAACACGATTATGATTTTTTTCCGCGAAAAATTTTTTTCGAAAAAAAATTGGAATGTTTTTTAGTTAAAAACATAATTTCTTGATAGTATGACAACATAGGTATTAGATTAAATTTACTAGAAAGATAACCCAGGAAAGATCAAGTGGTTCCCAAAATTTAAGCAATTTTTTTTTGGAAATTTTCAAAGTAAAATAATTTGGTTATTTTGGACTTATTTGAAAAACGGTAAAGAGAAAATATGTTTCTTTTATCGAGATCTACCATCCATGAAAATATTTGCACTTATTTAAGACTCACCCTGTATATGACGATATTTTATTAATGTAATAATTCTACAGTAAACACTTTTAATATGAAAAATATTCATGAGAGTGTAATAAAACATTTTGATATTGAACGCGTTTGTTATTCATAGATATCAATTCTGTGTTCAATCCAAAAACAAACCTGTATTTTTTCTGCAGGTCCAAATTTAATAAAACAATTTATTTACTATTTCTCAATGACAAATTGACAATTATGTTAAATACATTTAAAATACATTATATGTATTTTTAGGCAACCAAAAATAAACTAGTAACCTTTAAAAATTATTTTTCCTACCACTAGCGACATACTGTGTCCTTAGTCAATACTAAATTATTTTGTCAAAATTTTAACAAAGAAGTTGCCTGGCAATGGGTATCACTATTGTACTATCTGCCATTTTTAGTAGTAATCGGTAGCAGTCTTTACTTACTCGTCAGGCAGACTTTAGTCTGGAACAATTTTTTATATTATTGTGATTATTTTATCCATTTTGTTTAATTTTAGTGTATTGTAACGTTTTTAGTTCGTTACATGTCTTTTTTATATATAATATATGATGTCTGGCCTATCATCACCGGATTCCCTCTCGTTCAGGCCGGATAGTTTATTTGACGCGTAATTTTTACGTTCCCTAGTCGCCAACCCTGTTATCGTTCGACACAACCCTGTTACAATTCTGTGGAGGCGCGCGCTGTCAACATCGCTTCTGTCAACTCTCTCCGTGCTTAACCTCACTTTGTTTTGACGCTCTGTTGTATCCCAGCTTTTGGAAATGGTGATTATTTAAGTCTTGCTGTATAATTTGAATCAGCTGCTATTTCGAGGCTACAGGGTAGAGTTACGGATGTCCCAACTTGTATTTGTGTTTTGCTGGCACGTTGGCGTCCCTTTTCTTTTGTCCTCCAGAATGTCACATGGAAGAAAGGACATGTTGTTTATTATTTATTGAGCCCTCGGAAGTATTTCGAGGGTCCAAGGTACGGACTGTGTCCAAGGTACGGACTGCGTCCAAGGTACGGACTGTGTCCAAGGTACGGACTGTGTCCAAGGTACGGGTAGTGCCTTATGTACAGACATTATCTTATGTACAGATGTCCTGTGGACGAGTGTCCCCAGTAAGAACGATTTTTTCTTACATCTAAGTGCCACAGCGTGGATGTAGCTTGAGTCCCATGCTGCTTCACTCCCATTTCTAAGCCTAGTCAGTAGCTACGGCTGTAAGGATTCATGGTGTCCTCAATCTGGCCCCTTTTGTTGTTTTTTGACCAACAGGATCGCCGACAGACAGTACAGAGATGCTAGACCACCTCACGCTGCTACTGTTTGAAGCAAGGTTACATAAAAGAACAGCTAAGTGTATATTTAAGTTCTAGTTTTACATTTAACATCTAAAATATTTTCAGTCTTAAACAGTAACGTACATTTTAAATAATATCGTACAGACTATATTTAGTGGTTAGATTATTAAGAACATTTATGTCGATGCAGATTGTTACAATGTGATTTAGATTTTAGGTTTCATTATATTACGCCTTGTAATAGTATTACTTTCTATAGATATTATTATTGCGCTATATTAACAGATGAATAACGAGACATGGATTCTAGAATCTACAGGTTGCAACATATCAGATTTAACACCGCATAAAATTTAACAATTTAAATAAAGTAATGCTACTTTTCTTATATTTTCTATAATGTTACACGCATTGTATTTTCTCATAGTCTTTTCATAGAACATATTTACATACATAGTTTTACTCAACAAATAACCACTATAATAATTATTAAAATTGTACAATGATATTTACCATCAGAATTCATCATGAATAAATATAATCATTAGTTTTAAGTAATATACAACTGTGTTTTCTTTCTCTGTACATGCCTGGCGCCCAATATCTATATATCTTTTGTTAATTATTACTGATTAATTTTCTCTCTAGTGAAATACCTTATCCACGACTGCTCTCCGATGAAAAGCTGCCGTTCGCAGTAGTAGTGGTTTAAAAAAACGCTACAGTATTATTATAATATTCTGTATTTTTCACCTTTCCAGAGATTTGGAAACTACGACTAGTCTGATAGGAATGGCACCCCAGCCCAACATAACCGTTGGTGTGCGACAAGCGGGCAAGTTGGTGACAGGAGAGTTAAATGTTTCACCAGGAACTCCACTGCAAATGGAGATATCTTTGGACCCGGTCTCTACGTCAATTTATGGATTGTTGGTCACTCATATGCAAGTATCTGATACCAAAGCTCAAGAAGAAACTATTATTTATAACGGGTGAGTATTTTAATAGATATTTACGATAAAAGTGAGTTAATAGCGAGTTGTGTAACCACACAAGTATCTTAATGGAGTTAACTCGCTTGTATTGTAGAATATTTTATCTACGTCTAACTATAAAAACACACAATTAATTTTAAATATTATTGTACTTAACTATGTACCTATCCTAAAAAATCAATTACCTTAATACCTTTGTTCAAATAACACCATGCATGGGCCAATGTCAATATGACAGTAAATAATATTGATGTCACTAGTTTAAAAAATGAGCGATTCGGAAAGTATTCCCAGGGGGGTGACAGTGAAATAGGAAAATTGGAAACAGTCATTAGTGTCATTCCTGTCATTCTCCTCACGACAAGTATGGCCGCCTAGACAAGGACAGCATTGTTTTTGTCTAACTATTGTCTAACTTTACAGTTTAGAATTGACAGATTTCAGTTTCAGAGACAACTTCAGATTTGTTCTAGAACAAATTCGAAAATATTCGACGCCATTTTAATTAATTCCGTTTAGTTTCGTTTTGGAAGTTCAGTTTAATATTTCGGCTGAAATTTATAAATATAAAGGTAATAAAGTATATAAAATATGTATTACATGAAAAATCCTGGAGAAAATGACGTTTATGCAGTATGTATGTCCCATGTATATGAAAAATAGGTAGTAAATAAACACTGTTTTTACATTTTTTAGATGCAAGAAAATGGTGTTATAATCTCTTTGATTGGCGATTTTTTTGAAAATGGAAACAATTTACAGCAAGGTAAGATCATTTTTAACTATAGCCAACATTAGTTATCTCCAGTATGTGCGATTTATTGTCAATAATGTAATAAATCGGACTGATAATCTGATTATATTATCCGACTAAAAGTCTCTTTTTGCATCTTTTTGATTTATAAGCCAAGTTCTTTGGGAATAATGGACGCTTTTTTTAAACAGTATATTTATATTTTATACCTATTGATATTTTTACATTGTTAATTATAGTATAAAAAAATTGTTTTTCTGTTTTCAGGTTTTTTTATAAGGGTCCCGTTTTCATATTCCTGTGTCCGTTTTCTGTCCTCGAAGTTTGCGAATGCGTGTGTTTATTTACAAATTACTGTAAGTCATCATCAACTTAACTAATTTACGTTAAAAGTGCATATAATTAACTAATTGGTATTGAAACAATACAATCCTCTATATTTTTATATTTATTTAGTCACGTTGTTCCATATTTCAAATAAATATATGTGAATAAATTATTTTTTGGTTTTATTTATGAAAAAAAAAATACAAAATACATTTGAACTGAAAGAGGGCCCGCCATTGAATAACCGGAAACGGAAATGAAAATTAAGCCATCATGTCCTTATCATGTCAACCTGTCAATTGGAAAGTTAGTTCTCCAGACGACAACGAAGGCTTTCGGTGGCGTATCGTGTTTCCACGATTTAACACAGAGTTGACACTTCTTTCTAGTTAATTATTTTATGAGTATTCCCTCTGACTGTGAAGAAGAGGCATTCAGAGCCATTTCTGGATTGCTTCCAGCAAGATCGAAACAGAAATATATGAATATACATAATCTAAGTATGAGAAATGGTGCACCGAAAAAAAAGTGCAGAACTATATAAATGAAAAGGGACTTATAACATATTTTTCCAATTTATCCGTTACTTATAAGCCTTCGTCTCTTTGGGCTTTCTATTCAATGATACGTACTATAATATCTATTAACCACACACCACATGTTTACTGCAATTAATAAACTAATATAAACTTGTCAAAAGATGACCACATATTTTTTAAAATTATTATTTTTAACACTAAAACTATCTACATTGACTATGGAGTACGATTTCAGCCATAGTCAATGTAGATAGTTCTAGTGTTAAGAATAATAATTTTAAAAAATATGTGGTCATCTTTTGAGAGGTTTATATTAATTTATTAATTGTAGTAAACATTATGTGTTGTTAGGTTAGGTTGTGAATATTTTATATTTAATTTTTTGGATTATATTCGACACTATTTTTTTCATATGACACACTGATGAAGGTTATAATGTTAGCCGAAACGTTTTTTTTTAAACAAAAAAAATAATGAAAAACCAAATGAAAACTTAAACAGCGTTTTTCACGAACCTAAATGCCAAGAAAATAAAAAAAATTAGAATAATTTTACATATAAAATGACAACGATCTTTATTTCATAGCCATCCCTGACGCCTTTTTTTCTATGATATTGTATTATTTGCAAATACATTTATTCGAACATTGCAAAATATACATATAAATTTTGTGAATGCAAATAATAATACATCACTATTAGTAGATATTGAATGTTTTTTTATTAAATTAGATCGATTTTCAAACCCCAAAGTTTAAAACATATTTTACATTTTACCCATTATCTTATGTAGCTATTCATTATTTGTATATTGTAAAATATTTGCTGCATTTGTATGGTTCATAGTTTATTTGCCAAATATTTATTACTATAAATACGTGTATATATATATATATATATATATATATATATATATATATATATATATATATATATATATATATATATATATATATATATATATATATATATATATATATATATATATATATATATATATATATATATATATATATATATTGTATTTATTAACTGTATATTATGTATATTTCATGTAAACTATATCATTTTTAAAATACAAACCAAAAATACGAGGAATAATTATGTTTTCCATGTATTCTACAACATATTTATTAATCCGTAGTATCTAACTAGCGTGACGTCATAAATCTCGCTCCGAGGCTGTTCTATTAGAGACGGCATTGATCTGGTATTTAGAAATGTCAAAAGCTGATGACATTTGACTTTTTACAATTATAACATTTCGTGTTGATTTTTGCAAGAAGAGGAAGAACTGTCACTTGTTTTATTATTTTCCTTATCTATTTCACGAAAGTAAAAAGAATTGCCTATCTGATTCGTTCAGGCACTCAATTTAAAGAATATCAGTAACTTTTTTGACAGAGGGATTTTATATTTGCCATGTTGGTAAAAAATAACGGTCAAAATTCAAAGTTATTCATTTTATAGACTATAGTCATCTAAACAAGGAGTGCGGTTATGAAAATGCGTGAGTTAAGAAGCTCCTAACGCACTCAATCTGCGTGAGTTAAGAGCTTCTTAACTCATTGACGTAGATAAAATTATTTACAAGTGTTTTCTTAAGCTGTGTTAAAACACAACATTTTCGATTAAAAGACTAAGAAAGGAGTACAATGCTATCCATGTATTCGGCACAAAATTTTCTATCTCCGTTCCTGCTTTGGTTTGGAAGCATCAGTATACCAAGATATGGTCTTTCACCTGTTGAGCAAAAGTTTCTCTATTTCAATTCTCTTTGTTGCTCAATACTATAGAGAGGTGTTTCTCAAAGTTGTACAGTGACGTCTAGAATGACCTCCATTGCTGCTGTTGTGATGGTTCTTGTGGCTCTTGTGATGCAGATGCATGTCAGACTTTGCATTTTGCACAAATTTTGTTGCCTTGTTGTACGTTCTTTAATTTTGTGTACCAAGCAATCGCTCCATAAGTAATCATGAGTCTTACTATCATGGTATACATCCAGCTCAAAATGTTAACATCTATTCCCGGCCAGTCTTCTGCATATCATGAGAGTCTTTGCGAAAAGCCCAAGTAAACTAACATCAACTTTGTGTTGTTGAATTTTTATATAGTTTATTAACATAATATCTTCTAAAATAAAGTCAGAGGAAAACATAAAAACGAAATATACAGGGTTCAAAAAACATGTGCCATCTCTCGTGGGGAGATTCTTCCTCACGTAAAAATAAGATGTATTTTTCATATCAACATAGGTCCTATTCTTTTTTGTTTCGTAGCTACAGGGTGTTAAAGTCTTAATAACATACTTTAATGCTAAAAAAGTGTCGATAAATTAATCAAGGACGTGCATATGGGTTATCACGGGAATATTTAAAAAAAGACATGTGCGCCACTGACTTTTTTTCTTTTGATATAAATATTGTGTAGGCCGTTTAATGCCAATTAAAAGTCATGTCTTGATATTTTGTCGAATTCTTAATAAAATGCAATTTTATTAATCACAATTATTAATAAAATTAAAATAAGAATAAAATTAATAACATATATTTTACCTAATTTATTGTTCAATATTATTACTATTGTTCCCGCCTACAGCAATTTCAAATAAAAAAAATAATGGTAGGTATTTAAAATAATTACAAAAAAAATAATTTTAAGAAGTTTTAAATCCTGTAACTCTAAAACTATGCATTTCCATATCCATGTTTATAGGAACTTTTTTTCATATTTTCTGATGAGGAATCAATGAGTACTTATTTAAAACTTTTACAAGTTAATGATAGTAAATTTTTAAAGGTTACTATTAGACTTGGATCAAGGCAGATTAATAAAATTGCGTTTATCTCATCAAGGAGGCCGAATATCAAGAGACAACTAATTATAATTGGCATTAAACTGCTTACACTATTTCGCTAACAAAAGAAAAAAAGTCAGTGGCGTACATGTTTGTTTTTAGAAAAATGTTCCAGTGATAACTTATATGTACGTCCCTGGTGAATACGTTGACACTTTTTAGCGTTAAAATATGTCGCATTTGTAGTAACTTTTACCCTCAAAATTTCACTCGAAACGCTAAAAGTACTTGCAAGAAAATTTTAATAAATCGAAAAAAAATTAAGATTTTAACACCCCGTAGCTACGAAACAAAACAGAATCGACCTATATTGATATGAAAAATATATCTTATTTTTACTTTTAATCTCCCCACGGGAGATGACATATGTTTTTTGAAGCACCCTGTATACAGGGTGTCCCAGAAATGAGTGCAGATATTTTAAGAGGTGGTAGATCTGGTCAAAATAAACATATTTTTTCTTTACCATTTTTAAAATAAATTGAAAATAACTGAGTTATTTAACTTTGAAAATTTAAAA